TACAGTGACTAGTCGATCAAAAGTTGCTTGTGTCAGTCTCGGCCTACAAAATGTCTTTTGTCAAACAATACAATATAACGGACACAGCAGAGAGTGTACCCTGATAATGGATCGAATATCATCGAATATGAATCTTCTCTCGAATCCAAATCTGCTGATCATCAATCTCAATCGCCGTAAGTTCTTATGAGAAGGAGAACAACTCAAGTAAGATAGCAAAAACACACTGTATCTCTTGAATTTTCAGTCTAATTTTAAAATACATACGAGCACTATCACACTTTCAGCATTTTTCTAGAGTCTTATACTAAAATATTGTGCTCAGATGTTGTACCTATCCTTTGAGAAAATTACAGTGATATTTAATGGTTATGAATATTTCTAGATCCTTGTACTGGACTCCAAACAATTACATTCGATGATATTCCGAATATTTCTCCTATTCAAAATGCCATTCCCAGCAGTTATGCTTGTTTTAATTGGATCAATGGATGGTATATCAATGCGAACACCAACTCCACTACTAATACTGGTTATCAAGCGGTGCTAACTAGTGGTCAATATGTGGCACTCAATCGCAATGGAACAACATTAAAGATCAACTTGAGTAATAAGTTATTCGATATCATTTCATTTTGGGCAGCATCAGCTTATACGACAGGTTTACGCATTAGTATCCAAGGATCACGAAATAATACGTTGGTCAATGCAACATCAATTACTTTGCATACAAATGCTGCTTCTTTAGTTCAGCTGAATTGGACCAATATCGATAACATCACTATCAGCTCGAGTCCATCCGGTCTTGGCAATCAATTTACTATAGACAATCTTGTTGTTATATTTTCATGATTATTTACATTCTGATTAAAGACAAAACTGAATAAAATCCTTTCTAAGAGAAAACGGTAGATTTTAGTATTCATTTATTTGAGAGCCCATTACATATGTCATTATTGATTTCCACGTTTTACTGTATTTTCATAGATGAAGGGCTATGAAAAGCAATTCTTCGTCTCTTTATTTTTTCTTTACTTGTCACAACACGATTCCATACATCAGTTCTAGCGAGAAAATTTTGATAAAAGAAACACTTGAAACGCTTAGTGTCCTTCTGAAAATGGGCATAGGATATGAAGTGCTTTATATTTTTTCTTATCAGAGCTTATGCATAAAAATGACAAAGTGTACCGTTATGTAAAGATCGATGTGACGCGTTAAGAACCTCTATGGGTTGTATATTTATTATAAAAAGAAAGCTTAAAATGACTTGGGGGTGTGGATGTGATATACGGATGGTATTCATCTTATACCAACGCCCATACCCGCCCACGAGTCAGTGGTGGGAATGAAGCGGTTAAACTTATTTTCGATCTCTTCCTAGTTTGATGATCGTTTAAGACAATTCTTTTCAGTATCATCGACTTTATGCACGAAATAAATGTGCAATCTTCTTCCTTCATCTTGATTTTCAAGTCACACTCATAACAATCGTCATAAAATTGCAGTCAAGTTGGAAAAAATATATTTCTTTTTTCTTTTTCTTCCTTCAACAAACGACAAAGCAGAACACACAGAAAGAGTGCTAATACGACGAACGAGCAGCAGAGAATGAAAAAAGATGATGAAATGCAAGAGAGACGACGGTGAGAATAAATGATCCATGAACAACAGAGATCGCAATCATTAAGAAACATTCAAAAAGACATTTATCGGAAGAGTTAGTATGTTATTATATTAAAATGATATACACACCATTTTCTACCCTTCTGTTGGAATATTCCAACTTTCGTTATTCACATTCTTTGTTTCTTTTTCTTTGTCTTTCTCTTTTATGTTTTTGTTCTTCATTCGAATAAGATATTACGTGACGAGAGGGTCCTCTCATACACCTGTAGACAGAAAAATTTCGTTCTTTTACTTTGCTTTTTTTACTTGTATCGACTTCCTTTGTTATAAATTAGTGATAGAGAGAAAAGAAATATGATTACACATACACATGCTTTTTTTCTTATAGAAAACAAAATAATTCATCTGTTAGTATCAATATCGTCATGAATTGGTAAGTTATTATAAACTATTTTCTAGAAAAACTAATATTATATTTTAGTGAATCTATACCATCTATTACCTCCTTTGAACATCTTTCTAATGAAGTTATCTATGAAATTTTTGATTATCTGAATTTTTACGATATTCATAAAAGTTTTTTAAATCTTAACATTCGTTTTTATAATCTTATTCATTCTTCGACATTTCCTATTAAAATCAATTTTTCATCAATATCAAAATCAAATTTTCAACTTTATTATGAACATATTATTATTCCTTATCAAAATCGAATTACATTACTTCAATTATCAAATCGTTTTATTCCAGATCTTTTTTCTGTACGATTTAATAATATGATTCAACTTCAAACATTAGTTCTCAAAAATATTGAATCAGATTTTCTTGAAAACATTTTTACTGATTCATTATGTCTACCTTCACTCTCTTCATTAGTTATTAAACCGATTGGTACTCTTTCAAACACCAAAAATTTATACCGTCAAATATTTCGTTTACCTGCACTAAAATATTGTAATGTAACATTCAACGAAGCTTCTATTTTTGAACCGTTACCATTTGCAACGAATAAAGAATTCAGCTCCATCGAAATATTTCTTATCAATCATGACTGTCGTATTGATCAACTCAATGCTTTTTTGTCATATGTTCCTCATATTCGTCGTATCTCATGTAATATTCTGCCGGAATTCAGACATCATCAAATATCATTACGATCATTGGAATTAAATAATTTAACACATCTTTCTCTTACAATGAACCATCTATTATTCGATCAAATTAAATTATTAATTAAAAATCTTCTTAATTATATTCAAGTGTTTCATATCATTACAAACGATTCTTTATCATATTCCGATATAAATCAATGGGAACAAATGATATTATTTTATTTACCAAATTTACGTATTTTTCATGTTAAATTATTATCTGATCAACCAAAATATCTATTTTGGTTCAATCGACAATGGTATAATGAAGCATTGGGAATATTTTCTCGTAGTTTTTATTCAATACAATCAATTAAGTAAGATTATAAAAACCGAAAGAAATGTTTTGTTTAACTTAGAATCTTCATTCTGTTACTCTTCTTCTTTTTAGATATCATTGGTTGCAGGAAAGATTATCTTCAGCTACGAATATAAATAATCATTATTCTGTTAGTCATATCTCTATTCATAATGAGATGGAAATAAATTGTGATTTAATTTATTTTCCTAATGTTACTAAACTAACTATTTTTCCGTATTCAAATCGAACTTATCATTCGCTTTCAACTGTACTTGATCAAATCATTCCTTTGATACAACTGACGGAATTAATTATAAATTATCCGAAATTTTGTATTGGAAAATTAGTTGAATTATTATATTATTCGCCAAATATTAGAACATTATTACTTCATTCAATTTCATTTGATAAAATAAGTTCTGTATCGATACAAGAAAGTCAAACTTTCGAAATAGTATCGAAGAAGAACAGAATTACAAATATTACCATTACAGAATATGATACATTGGAAAATGTGAAATTACTCTGTAATCTTTGTTCTGAATTACAACAACTGACTATTGGTTTATCTCAATTCTTATTTCAAGACTATACATCGCTAGTAAAATTCTTATTCTTCGATCTTAACCACAATACTCGTCATTTGTCTTCTTTGTGCTTTACAAATTCAAATCCACTTGCATTCCATAGATTCAGCTTACAGTATTTGCCAACCGATGTTTCTGTAAAATATATCGAAAGAAACGTATATTTCTGGCGATAACATTTATTCATATGAATAACTATTATTTTTAAATAAATACGAATATTTTTGTTAATTTAAATTGTAGTAAAATTGACATAAATTACTAAGATGTGAGTGTCTATTAAGAACAGAGAGACTCATCCACGCCCACACCCGTTGTTATCAGATTTTTGACTCGTTCAATAGAGTTTTTGATTTCTTGGTAGAATTTAGAATCACGAGAATTCATTTCTATATCGCTGTTTATTGCTTTGTAATAATAATTGAGAGAATTATGTAAATCATTTATTTCTTCGTAAAACGAAGCCACAGTATTGCAACATTGTGCCATACTCTTCACAGCATACGAACAATATTTTTCATATATATCCAAAGCTTCTTGAGAATATTTAAGCCCATTGTTCAAATCATTCATAGACTTACATGTCGATGCTATTTGTCCTAGATATTCGATCAGCATCCTATATTTCACAGGTTTAAATTCTTTTACGATTTCTATTGCTTTTAAGGATCATTCCAATGTTTTCTCATATTCATTACCATACACTAATATAATGTCGTCGAGTAATGAACTGTGACTTTCGCGTGCCAAAATCAACGTGCTCCTTCTCATATTTTTCAAGGATTCTAAATAATACTCAAGTGATTTCTCTAAATCACCTATTTTGTAATAAGTTTTACCCACATGATGGAGACACCAAACAATTTCATGATTATTGGGTACTAAGTATTTCTGTCGAATTTCTACTGCTTGAAGATGATATAGGAGTGCTTCGTTGTATTGATGTTGGTAAAAATAAATTGTAGCAATATCTACATAACTCAGAGCAATAAGAACATGATCTGGTATTAAAAAAAAAATTCTTATGCATAACGCTTTCATACAAAATTTCATAGCTTTGTCGAATTTGTTTCGATAAAGACAAATTCTTCCAATACTTCTATAAAATAATGCACGCCAATGGCTATCAACATATCCCATAGTATCTAGAATTTGTAGTCCGCGCCATTGTGAACTCCATGCCTTGTTTAATTGTTTCATTTTAGTATAAACTGTACCTTGCTTATGAAGTACAAAAGCAGCATATTTCTGTTGTGATGAATCAGAATAAAAACATAAATTGAATGCTTTTTCAAAATATTCTAATTCAGCTTCATACTTTTTCTTATCTCTTAAAATCAGTCCAATACGATGATAAATATGAGCAATATTTTCATTACCACGATTCTTAAGAAATTGTTTAAGAAATTTCAAAAATTCATCGGACTTATCCATTCTTTTCAATAAATTACAAAGCATTATTTTTGAACTTTCAAATTCCATTTCACTTTGATTCAATTCAATATATTTTCTTGCAATTTCCATTCCTTCTCCAGTTGTTTTTATCGCCAACACTAATATATTCATATTTTCTATTTCTTCTTCTTTAATCATTTCAATTTTAAATATAATTGATTTGTAAGAATAATCAAATCGATCAACAAAAATTCATCAAAAAACTTGACAAGACATGTGAGAATACCAAATACAACATTGAGCTTATTCATTCCTATGAAAATCTATCGAATGAAATATTTTCAAAGTGAAAGAGAACGTTCATGATCAATTCAAACCTCAAAAGATATATGTCAAACACATTTATATATGAATTTATATTTATCACATCAAATTTCAGATAAATAAATTGATGAAAATAACTTTTCTTATGTAATTAGAAGGAATCCATTCAATAATGAACGAAAAAAATGCATTTGATGAATGTGATCGTTTTATCGTTAAATCTAAACTTTAACTTCGTTTAATTATGTAAAGACAAAGAAAAATATTCTCACGATGATCAGATCAGTTGTATTAACTTACATTGGTAAATTTATTTATCAAATCAAATAATTTCATATAGTTCATTATATAAGAACGAACAATCCATAATATATCGATAGAGGAGAAAGGAAAAGAAAATACCCAATTAACATATCTATTTGTTTTTCTTTTGAAAATTTATCTCGATCAATATGATAATAAATACAATTGAAGATTTATCAAATGATATTTATTATGAAATATTTGAATATCTTTATTTTAATGATATTCATAAAGCATTTTCAAAACTTAATAATCGGTTCCAACAATTCACTCATTTATCATATTCAAAATATAATATTTTAATTGATTATACATCAAACGAAAAACGAACATTGAAACAATTAAAAAGAATATCTTCAATTAATAAAAATCAAGTCTTTTCTCTTTCTATTTGGACATGGATAAATAATAATCAAATATTATCATCATTTAATTTCAATTCATCATATTCAAATCTTCAATATCTTATATTAAATTATCTACAAGCAAATAGTATTCCTATTATTCTTCATCAATTAATTGATTTACCTCGTTTATATTCATTAACAATTCAAACAGAAGAAAAATTAAAAACATTTGGTAAAATTTATCAATTAGTTTTTAATTTACCAAATCTAAAATATTTTCAATGTCGTGCAGAAGAATCAACAGATTCCAATATTAATAAATCTTTACCAATTGCTTTATCTCAACAAATAACATCAATTAAACAATTAATTATAAATCATCCATGTAATTTCAAACAACTTATTCATCTTTTATCTTATACACCAAAACTTCAATATTTAGAATATTTGAATTTAAATGATAATATAACAAATCTAAATATTCTTTCTTCAATTCAATTATTAAATTTAACATCTCTTTCAATTCGATCTTCTCATACGATGTTTGATACACTTGAAATTTATCTTGATCAATTTGAATTTAATTTAAAAATATTTTCAATAGATATTCATATGGAAGATCAAAATTATTCAAATGCTCAACGATGGGAATTAATTCTTCAAAGAAATTTTCCACAATTAGAAGAATTTTATATGAAATATACAAATAATTTTGATGATAATCATCAACCATTATTATATACTGGTCACTCAAATGAATTTTCTTCTCTATTTTGGATTCAACGACAATGGTTATTAGATATTAAACTAGAATTTGATTGTATAACTTATTCTATTCATCCATATAAGTATAATTAATCAAAGGAAGATTTCATTTGAAAATATATTTTCAATTTTAGAAAACGATGGTTTGAATACAATGAACAAGAAAGAATTGATTTATCTAAATCTAAACAACTTATTCTAAATGATGTATCTCCAGAAAGATCGTATCAAACATTAACTATTCATCATTATATAAAACAAGTTAAATCTATTACACATATTGATCATCTTTCTATTAACACACAAATATTTGTTATTAAATTAATTGAAATTTTACAATTATTACCTGAACTTGATTCATTAAAACTTTCATCTAAGATATCATTTCAAAAACCAAGAAAAGTACATCATAATGAATTATTAAATATATTTTGTTCAATAAATCGAATTAATATAACAAAACTTTATCTTGAAAAGATTCGTCAAATGAAGGATATTTCTTTCTTTCTTACAATTTGTCCATTAATTAAACAAATTCATATTAATAATTTATATAAAATAAATATTCAATCATTTCTACGATTAATCTTAACACAAATTAAAAATCAATTAAGATTTCAAAATCTTCGATTATTATCTATTCGTTTACCGATAATTGATGATAAAATCATATTTAAATTAAAACAAATAATTCAAAATGAATATTTACTTAATGATTATACAATAAAACGTATTGAAGAAATAGTTTTTCTAGAATGGAAATAGAAATAGAAACATAAATCATTTTGAAATAAATATTATAAAACAAAAGATTATTACAACTTTTAATAATGAATAGATTTTTGAGATTTATCTTGATATTTTTCTTGAACTGTACTTAAATGATGTAAAGAGATATACGAGCAGAAATTACGTAAAAGATGATTGTTTTCTCTCTTATATTTGTAGTCCTTTTATTGAATAATACTTGTGGGTGTGGGTGTGGCTCTCTCTTCTATTTATCTATCGACAGTAACACAAAATTCGTTGATTCTTCTCTCCACTGAAAAACTAACAGCAATACTTCATCAAAACAATCCAACAAAAAATGTCAATTAAGCAAAGCATATTTCTTCCACACACCTGAAAGGATCTTCTAAGGCTGATGAGCATGACAATCGCTTTAAAACTGACTTGATAATAATATCTTTTGTCTAAGCAAGGTTTTGTTAAGAGACCATGCTTATAGGTCTTCATTATGATGAAACCTTTGATGAAGATTTTTATTTATTTTTATATCAGTTTCGATATAAAAGTATAAAATAGTCTTTATTGTACTTTATACGAATGTTCACTCCTTGAAGATTACTTCTTCGCACAGGCTTCCCAAGTCGGATCATAGCACTGTCCATCACAAGCACGTTGGCCTCTATTACAGATGGTGTTTGATTCACATATTTGCTGAATTGGATCATAGCACAGTCCATTGCAGACGCTCTGGGTTTTATCACAGATGGTGTTTGATCCACATATTTGCCGATGTGGATCGTAGCACAGACCATTACAGACGCTTTGGGTTTTATCACAGACGGTGTGTGATCCACATATTTGCCGATGTGGATCATAGCAGAGTCCATTACAATTTGCTTGACCACGAGAACACGATGTCGCTGCCAAGCTCGTATGAAAGCCGATGAGTAAAACAGTAGCGATGATTATGAGTGGTGGCATGATATAAATGAAAATAATTTTTGTTCCTTGCTTATATAGAAATAAAAGACCCGAACTGATTTGTTCCGCAAATACACTGTTAAAGTTGGATATTATTTTATAAAAACGACGCAGTAAGCTAAGAATACAACGTTACATAGTTTTTTCTTCCAACCATCAAAATTATGCGTCTGTTTAAGTGGATCAAATCACATTTCATTGGCGACATAAATTATGCAAAACAATATTATACTAATCTATGCCTTTTCGCTTCGTTTAACTTTTGCTTGCTCTTTTAGACTCAAAGACTGACGCAGCCAGGTATTTCGCAACATTGAATTTTATTCAGAATATTTGAATTTGAGGGTTTGACAATTGTGATTCGTATTAACTACACTGGGAAAATAATTCGTCGAATAATCAAGCGTTGTACTATAAGGATTGTTCCGAAAACTTTTCGAGAACTTGAAAAATGTTTGATTTAGAACGATTACAGTTTGTGAATACCATATGAGTATATGACTCATTGTGAAGGATTTATTATTGAATGTTTTCATCAGAACAGTCTGTTAGGTTAAATTCAACGATTTAAAATAGATAGTTAAAAGGCTAATGAACCTCCAACATATATACAACGAGTCGGTGTGAGTGTGGGTATGGGTGTTAGCTTTATGTCTCATCCACATCCGCATCGACCCTTAAAGATTCATATCACATTTATTATTGCAGATAACTCGGCTGTCTGTCAAGCAAATAGTAGATTCGATCTATAGTAGTATTTTAATAAATTCTCATTCTGAAAATAATATTAACCGTCAAGAACAGGTGACAGTTAACTAATACAAGTTAACATATGCCACAATATTTATTTTTAATATATCGAAATTTATTGTGTTTGAAAAGATAACATTCCTTAATATTTTTGATTGACATGTAAGAGTTAGTTGTCAGTTCTTTCAAGATAAGGACAGGCAAACACGAGTTTCGCAGTGCCAACGTTCACAAGTAATTTTCGACAATTGCCAAAAGTCGTGTTCTCATGATGCTTGTGCCATAATGAAACTGAACTGTTAGCCATTGCCGAAAGAGCCCTCATGGTGAGGATAGAATACCTACACAAACACGACTTTTAGTAATTGTCAAAAGTTTGGTTCGACTATTGAATAGACTAATTGATTACGTCTGTAAATTGCGCTTTCGACTACCTTTCTTAGTTATTCTATTATCAACATATTGCATCCAGTTACCGAATTTTCAGCAACTAATGTGTACACAAATGAGTCTAAGCTAGGTTAAAAACATTTCTATATCATTTATTGCCGAGAGTCCAATAATAATGAATTTTATTAAAGGTTATGTCGATAGTGTTTGGACAAAATATTCAGCAATTGTCCAAAATACGATCATACATGAATTTTGTTTTTTAGTTAAATCGAACTTTTGGCTGTTATCGAAAATGAACTGCGAAAGTCAATACTGCTAAAGTCCAAGTATCCTAAGATCAGGTCATTTTGCTTTGGTAAAAGTTATACAAGACTCTGTCGCCTTTCTGTCAGCATTAGCTCAACAAGAAGTACGGCTTTTCTCATAGACATATTTGTGCCGACACTTGAAGCAGTTGGTTAATACACAATGTGGATATTGAGCGTACTCATTTCTCTTCATGTACCTTCTGTGTTTACGTGTAAGTATATAGATATCATCTTAATTTATCAAAGAATGAAAACAACAACTTGTAAGTAAAGCGCAACTAGGAGAAGTATATGTATTCGAAAACTTCTTAAAGGCGGTTCTTTATGATGACGAAAAAGTTTTGCAAAAGATTTTGCTGTTGAGGAGCAACTAGCATGAATCTCTTTTTCTGTATATCCATAAACTAGAACGAGGAAATCGAATAGATGCTCAGTGTGTAGAGAATAAAAATATTCTCACTGAGCAGTTCTAAGACAACTTCAAAGAGAATAATTCATCTGCAAGTCTTGATAACAATAACAGTTGAGAAAATTTTCTAAGTGAATATTCCTATTTTTTGTAGTCTACATGATTCACAACACCGACTTGAATGGACCCACGGACAAATATGATTGTTTCATTATTGATGAACAAAATAATGCATTTGGGATCAGTGAATATTGTCGAAGACCCATTGAAAATCTTATTGATCGAGATCCTCTTGAATATTACGATTGTGAGGAGTCTTTTTCCAGTTTGCGTCGAAAAAACGCAACAGATGCGAGCTTGCTTGTGGCCGGAGCACCAATAGATATTATCGATGCATATCAGATGTATTTGGAAACCGGAAAAGGTGAACGAAGGTATTGGTGTCAATGCTGGTCGATAGATGGGAGATCGTTCGGTGTCAACTGTGAATATACATTCAGCAAATTTCTTGACAAAAATGAGTTTGCTTTTCAAAAGACTTTGGACGACATACTTATATCACTTGACAAAAATATTTTTGAAACTAATAAGTTTCAAGCAAATGTTACCAACGGAAGTTGTTATATAGATTTGCCAGAATGTAAAGTTGGAACAACTAGTTGTCTTCACTGGAATCAGATATGCGATGGTATGTTTGTAACAAATACTTATAGAATCTATTCTGAGTGGTTATAATCGTTTGCAGGCAAATAGAAAAAGTTCAAAGATGATTCTTGTTTTATATTTATAAAGTAAACATACGATTGCATTGTAATTTATCAGATATCTGATAAAATAACGAACTTCCCTACTGTACATTAATATGAAACACAGTTGAGAAAAAACTATTGTCATCAATATCATCTCTATGTTCGTTCTTTCAATAATTGTTAATAAGAACCTAAATTCGTATATGCTGTGTATCTAACGATGATGTGAGATCATTGCTTTACCGCCATCATATCAACAGTTCTTACTGGTAACCGTCCTAATAGTAGTTATTTTTAGCCGAATCATAACTGGTCTCCTGGTATTAGTCGATATAGATCGGTGTATACATTTGCTAGTCTAATACAGCTTATGCCGTTTTATATCAGCTAATATCGATGGACTGATACTAATCTGCAAAAAAAACAAATATTGGTAGAATAGCTAACGACAAGAAATGATTATGGTGACCGTTGCACGTGTATACTATATGTTGACACATCGATTCAGTTCAGTATTTCAAGCTCTTTTAAACGAGCGAATTAGAATTACAAATCCCAGCTTAAATAAGTACGGTCGTAAACAATTGTAAGTACCTGCTTTTGAAGTGTTTTACAGATACGGTATTATGGCCATCTCTCATCGCATCGCACACGGATAGTAACGGTCTAAGAATCAGGTATCCGATCAGTTACGATCGTAATTCTGTGCCTACTATACGTGTAAAAGTAGCTACTTACAACTGTTTCAGATCGTGCTTGTTTAACCGGAAACTTTATTCAAATCTTTCTAAGCATTTTCTCGTAGACTATAAACTCAGTAAAACGGTCATATATTTTGAGGCTTCTGCTAGCCTCGTCAGATCCTACTTAAGGACAAAATACTACTTCAAAAGCTTTAAATCGCTTTGAATACTTGCTTCGTAGAACATAAGGATATTATTTAGGTTGAAAACAAAAGCAGTGATTTTCTGTTTTCAGGACAAATTGATTGTGATAACGGTGTCGATGAAGAGAACTGCTTAGCTCTTGAAATGAATCAATGCAATGATCAAACAGAATATCGATGTCGTCAAGGCTTATGCATTCCTCGTCCAGCAGCGTTTGATAAAATTCTCGATTGTAGCGATGCTTCTGACGAATATAGCTACGGTGATAATCATTTAAGCCATTCGGCCGCTTTTACATGTGATACGTATGAATATCTTTTCTGTCATGGGCATTTCTGCGGGCAAAACATGTTTGCTTGTGGCGATGGAACTTGTTCGGACAAATTATGGACTCAACCTCGTTGCAAAACGGGACGTGACTTACGATTTGTAACAAGTGTTCTTTCAACATCGATGAACGATGAGAGTTCTTGTTGGATATTTGCCATTTGTCATCTTGGATTTATTGACTTTTTCTCTGATATAACATCGTCGATGTGTTCCAAGAGCATTTGTAGGAAAGATATGTTTCTTTTTCCTGCCCAACATCCTATCGCCCATCCAAAAATTCAACTAATTTACGAAACAACAAGAAACTTTTCTACAGGTCACATTCAACCTGATTACGTTTGTTTTGATGCGCAAGCATGTCAATATCATAATTGGTCAGTTACTATTCTACTCAACAGAACATGTTTACGATGGGCGGACTTCAACCGGATGTCTTACCGGAAAAATACATGGGATTTACTGATTCTTGACATAAAGCAGATGTTTTTCTCTTGTATTATACCTCCAATCAAGACGAAGAATGATGAACATCTATTCGATTGTAGACAGTCGTTCTTCATATCCAAGAATCGTCTAAAAGACGGCTATATAGATTGTTATATGGGTATTGATGAACTCGAAGAGCGAGATACATGCGTATTGAACCTTGCTAATCGTTTTCAATGTCAGACAGATAAAGCAGAATGTATTCCACGATTATATTTGTCTGATGGATTCAATGATTGTAAGGATGGTTCAGATGAGAGCTTATTTTTCAGTTGTCAATCTCACTCTTCGGAAGTGGGTTGTAAATGGAGACGAGGTTCTTTGGACCTTTCAACACAGTTTCAATTTCCTCATTTATGTGATGGATTTGTCGTAATCAAAATTGAGAATATCACAGATGAAGACGATTGTCCTTCATCCTGGATTAATCAATGCAATTCGTCTTGGACACGTTGTGACGGTTACTGGCATTGTCGAGACGGACGCGATGAACTTCAATGTCCACCAGTCCAACATTATCCTTGTAAAAACAAAGAACAGTTTTATTGCATGAATAGAACAACCGGTCAGTTTGCTTGTTATTCTTCACATTTAGCCGGTGATGGGCGCGAAGATTGTGTCGGTGCATTGGATGAACGCGTCAGTGGTTACTGTCATCGAACGTAAGCAGTGGTGTTATTTGCTTGTT